AATATCCTCATACTAGATATTATTCCTTGTGATTGGACCGGGTGCAGTGCGGTTACCGACTCTCAGATGCCTCGGTCCATTGTGATACTTAACTAAAGCCCTTAGTCCCCGCATTCCCAGACGCTACTTTGTAAAGAATTTCCCCAGATTATGACAACCTATTGATAGAACATTATGGATCCAGCAACTTCATCGCAGCCTGCCACCGCGGACCGGGGCTCCTTCACCACCCCCGAGGCGCTGCAAAATACATATAAAACCGATACGAATCTCCATCGGCTGCTTTCATGTGAGTTCTGCAGCAGATTGTAAATACAAATAACTAATGTCAAAGGGTACCTCCCGTCATCGACTTATGAATCCATTCAGTCCAACCTCGCCCAGCTCGGCGAGGAAGCCATCTCGCCTCAAATCCGCGAATGGAGCGCCGACGCCGAGCGCCACCAGCCCTACGTCAAGGGATATAATGTCTGGGGGCAGCGATACGACTATGACCGATTGATCACCAGCGAGGGCTGGAAGCAGCTGAGCCGATGGGGTGCTCGACATGGGTATTTCTTCCGTTCATTTCCTTAGGTCCAGAACTAACCCAAGCAGTGTGGTAGCATTAGGCTACGATCATAGCTATGGCTCCTCCCGCCGTCTCGTGCAGTACACAGTCAATTACCTGTACGGGCCTTCGTCAGGGCTGACTTCCTGCCCCGTCGCCATGACCGACGGCGCGGCGCTGATCCTCTCCCAGCAACTACAGCAACAATCCCTCCCAGAAGACCATCCCTTCCGCGTCGTCTTCAACCATCTCACCTCCCGCAACGAAGACTTCTGGACCTCAGGCCAGTGGATGACCGAACGCGCCGGCGGCAGCGACGTCCAAAACACCGAGACATGGGCCACCCACGACCCCTCCCCCAGCACCACCAACCCCACCACCCTCGGCGAAGGCGAGTACAGCATCAGCGGCTTCAAATTCTTCTCCTCAGCAACAGACGCCAACGTCACCCTCCTCCTCGCCAAAACCGCCCCCTCTGGGAAACTAAGCACCTTCCTCGCGCCTCTCCGACGCAGCATCACCCTCCCCAACCAGGCCCCCCGCGAAGTAACCAACGGCGTGCGCATCCACCGCCTCAAAACCAAGCTCGGGACCAAGGAACTCCCCACCGCGGAGCTGGAGCTGCGGGGCATGCGCGCGCACCTCGTCGGGCAACGCGACAAGGGCGTCGCGACCATTGCACCATTACTCAATGTCACCCGCACGCACACCTTCATCGGGTCGCTGGGTGCGTGGCGCCGCGCGCTGAGTATCGCGAAGGCGTTTTCGCGCGCGCGCAGTACAGTCGGCGAGCCGCTTTGGTTGATTCCGATGCATTTGCGGCTGTTGGCCGAGGTGGAGGTGCGGCAGCGGGCGGCGATGCAGTTGGGGTTCTTTACGGTGGGGGTGATGGGGGTTGTTGAGAATCCTGCGGACACTACAGCAGTGCCTTCGCATGTGCCGAGGGGTGCTGAGGCGACGGTTGTCTTCCGGGCGTTGACGGCTGTGTCCAAGGCGGTGATTAGCAAGATGGCGATTTTGGGGATCCAGGAGTGTCAGGAGGCGATGGGGGGTGTTGGGTATATGGATGAGCCGGACGAGCCCGAGTTCAATGTCTCGCGGTTGCTGCGGAATACTGCGGTTAATAGTATCTGGGAGGGGACGACGAATGTGCTGGCGAGCGAGATGGTGCGGTTCCTGCTGGCTAGGGATAATTTCGCGGTGTTTGCTGGGTGGGTTGAGCGGGCGTTGGGCATGATACGGAGAGAGAAGTTGGCGCAGGCGTTGAGGCAGGCCTGGACGGTGTTCAAGGGCAAGGTGGCGAGGGACGTTGCGTCAGTTCTGGCGGATGGGCGCAGGGTCATGTTTACTCTTGCGTGGATCCTGATGGGAGCGTTGCTGGCTTTGGATGGCGAGCGAGATGGAGATGCGGTGGCAGCAGAGGTGGCTCGTCGGTGGATTCTGGCTGGCGAGGGAGGAGTCGGAGACACGGTGCACAGGGATATCGTGAAGCCGTATGAGGCAGACGGGGACGAGAAAAATCATGCCAGCTGGGACTGCCGGATTGTCTGGGGAGAGGAATTGCCCGAGGTACAGGTGGCTGGCCATCGTTCTCTTAAGAACCAGAACAAGCTGTAGCAGTCTCTTCATACATCATATCATACTATATCATACAGTTAGGTGCAATCAAATATCCAACAACCACGACCCGCTCCAGTCAAACCCCGATCCCTCCCAGTTCTGGTCCAAGATATCCATGTACCCATCGAACGGCATCACGTCGCGCTTTTCCGTCTCCAGACTCGAGACCTGACTAGAGACTATCCTCTCCCCCTGTATAACCCCCCACTGCCGACAAAGCCGCCGATCAATCCCATTGAAGAAATCCACCAGGCCAGGTCCTAAACTCGGCACAGCCCCCTCAAACAAGGGCTGTCGCCGCACCTGCTTCGTCAACCTGTCCAGCGCCCGGATCGGGCCCACCGCCGAGCGCCAGCGCTTCGACAGCGTCTGCAGACACAACTTGATAGTGGACAGCTCATACTCGGCTGTTTCCTTGAGCGGCTCGTATCGATACGCCGAGAGCAGCGACAGCCCGGCACTGAGCCCGTACAGTGCGAAGATGGGACCGAGATACTGCAGTTGGTCTTTCTGGTGGAAGTCCTCGAAGATTCCGGCGATGCAGGACGCGGCGACAAGGGACGCTGCTGACGGGACGCTGTTGGGTGTGGGCGAGCGGTGCAGGATGATTAGGATGGCGAGGTAGATGACCAGAAGCTGGTTGACCTCGAACTCGTGTGTCGAGGAGATAGTGTCGGGTGGTGCTGCGGCGCGAAGCGAAGGGAGGGACTGGTTGATCCAGCGGTAGAGGGCGTTTTCGAGCTGGCTGCGGCGCTCCAGGGACATGGTCTTGCGGAGACAGCCTTCGACTGTGTCGCCTAGCAGCAGGCAGATGGTTGTGTAGGCGACGAAGAGCTGCGACTTGTCGTTTTGGACGTCGAAGTCGTCCACGCTCGGCGGGAGGACGTCGCTGTCGCTGAGGTTGATGGTCCGGGGTCGTCCGGTGCCGGCTGAGATGATATTATCGCGCACCTACGTGGTCAGTGCATGCTTTGTAGTAGGTGAACATTACATACAACTAAAGCCCACCAGAGCCTCCTCAGTAGCCCACGGTCCTTTGCATTCGCGGCAGGCTCCTTGTGCAATCCGATCTGAAAGGCCATGGCGCCAGCCGTGCGGATCCAGAACCCGCTCGTGTCGGTCGAGACCTTCTCCGGTCCGACAGGATTATACCAGTGCAGCAAGCACGCCGACACGATGGAGATAAGCGAGTTGTTGCCGCCCCCGAAGAAATAGAGCAGCTTCGCTTTGCGGTAGAAGTCCTTACTTGATACGTCTTCCGACGGCGCAGACACACGACTCCCCGCCAGCAGGACGGCCTGCAACAATAGCGGCGAGGGCGACTCCGCGGTTAGCCATTCGGGGTCGATGATCGGTGTCCATGGCGCACAGTACCGCATAAAGCAGTCGATGAGATGGTCCTGGATGGGCTTGGGCGGGAGATCATACACCCGCTGGTGCTGGAAGAGCTGCATGTCCTCGTGGTTGTCGGTGTCGAGCGCATCCTGGCCGGACTGCACCAGGGTCTCATCGAAGGGCACACTCCCGCTGAGATACTCGCTGCGACCGCTGTAGCTTTTTTCAGTGGAGATGGGAGCGGCGGGACTGTATGCGGTGCGGGGGTCCTCCCGGGAGGGGGACAGGCTGTTGGTGATTCTTTTGCGTTTGCGGGTGAATGGGCTGATGTGTTAGTAGAGGACGATCTGATGATGGAGAGGCTTACAGGCACTCGGCCTTTGCTTTGGTGCAGTTGCTACATGGCTGCTGTTTCTCCAGATCGCATTTCACCTGCTGGACTTAGGAGATGCATCACTTATTTGGGGCATACTCCGTACCTTTCTCTTGTGACAGATAATGCATGCTCTGATGACTGCTGGCATATTCCATATCTAGTTTGCCCGTTCTTCGTTTATCAATTATAGTTGATATCAAATGGAGGCATGGACGACGATGAGGTCCTAATAACCGACGATTGCCGAGGAAACCGGTGGCGCCGGGTGAGGCACCAATCAGATTGCAGGATTTATTCGACAATGTATGAAAGACACCAATGTTGATTGACTTTGAGGAATGGCTGATATTATCTTGTAGATAGACCTGAAAGAAGGTTATGTTCGTGTCATGCCCTAATCCTCCGAGTGTTGCATATGCCAGGACAACTCCAGAGATATACATAGGTTTTTCGGTAATTCCATATGTTCATGCCCCTTTAAGTCAATAAGTCGAAGGGAAGATACTCCCTGCATCACACTGGAAGTCCCTGTTTGGTGCTGGATTCGATATCAAATCGCCAGCGCACTCAAGTCTAAAGATCCTCTTTTCAAATGAGCAATTAGGGGCCATGGGGTTACCTAGCCGCGCGCTGGTGCCTGTAAATTGTAGTACATCAAACTGCACCGCCTTCTTGTTTGCCTGTCCAACCATTTCATGTCGACTGCAGGTGTTTCAGCAGGGGTATTGGGCGATTGGCCAGCAACTCTGCTCCATCCGCGGGCTTTTGCCATACATCAAGTAATGATATCTGCCATCTTCGTCCATATAGCGCTTCCTGGGCGGCTATTCTGCACCAGGGCTGCCCAGCCCCGGCGTGATTGCTGCCCGGTGCGCCTTGCCTTCCTTCTTGCACTCCTTCCCAATTTTTAAAGTCTCGCCATCCAGAATCCATCCAGACAGTCTGATATTCTTTCTCATAAACACCTCTGTCAGAATATGAGGCTTGAGAGCAGGCAAATATTAAAGGTTTCTTGAATTCTTCATGGTTGAGTTGACTGTCGAAAACAGTTCATCACGGAGTAAAGTAGGCAAAATCATGTGCGCCGACCACGAGATACGCTGACAACCTCAAGGTACAATGGAAACTAAGACGAAACGTCTATCTCATGATGCATATACAGTGGCACTGCTCACCCCCCTCGAGGTTGAGTTGAGTCCAATGAGATATATGCTTGACGAAGAACATCAGCCACTACCGAGCGCCCGCGGTGACCCAAATAACTACGTTCTGGGACGACTCTGTCAGCATAATGTCGTTATCGCGTCCTTGCCTGCCGGCTACCAAGGTACGATCTCCGCTGCGGTCGTCGCACGAGATTTAGCGCGCACCTTCCCGTCGGTCACGCTTCGATTGCTCGTGGGCATTGGAGGGGGCGTGCCCAGCGACAATACTGATATTCGTCTGGGAGATGTTGTGGTCAGTGTTCCATCTGGAACTCAGGGTGGTGTTGTGCAATACGATCTGGGAAAGCAGACTACAACTGGGTTTCAACGCAATTCTTGTGCCCCCCGCCCAATGAATGGCTGGCTATTCTCCCGAGAATGCAATCCGATCACCGCGTGCGGATTAACATGGTCTCAAGTCACATAAGAGATATGCTGAGAAGATTTCCAGCGCTGTCCGAGTATAAGAGACCGTCGCCTGAGACGGACATCTTGTTCAAGTCCAACTACGACCATTGCATGGGTAAGCCGACTTGCCAGTCCTGTGATATACAAAAGACAGTTCCCCGGCACAAACGCAGCGCTCCTGACCGATCTTTCGTTCATTACGGGGTCATCGCATCCGGGGATCGCGTGATGAAGAATGCGAAGAAGCGGGACATGATCAGTAAGAGTAGCGAGGGCGCGATCTGTTTTGAGATGGAGGCAGCAGGCCTTATGAATGATTTCCGCTGCATTGTTATTCGTGGAATCTCCGACTATGCGGACTCGCACAAAAACGACATTTGGCACCCCTATGCCGCTGCAGCTGCCGCGGCTCTTGCAAAGGAGCTCCTTTCGTATCTGGAGGTATCGGGCCGTAAGTGAGATGTAATGATAGTATTCAGTGGAACTATTAGAAAGCTGACCAAGGATGTCAAAATGCTGGCAGCAACCATTCAATCCTCTCGTGCGACTGCTGCCTTGAAGGCTTTCTACACTGAAGGGAAGCGGCTTAATATAGAACGAATTTCAGGTCAACTACTCCCAATGAGTCATTGCTATATAAATCTGGCGGTGGTGAAGCGCTCACTAGAGGTCGGCGAGAATCATCAATCATTCTCCCTCATAACACGCCTCAAGGTTCAAGCAGATAAGGACGGAGACATAATCACCTTGCCGTCACTATTTGAACCACGCAATGGACCATCTCAGACCCCTTCGGTGCCTAAACGCATCCTGATTGAAGGGCGGGCCGGAGTAGGAAAGACGACTCTCTGCAAGAAGATCGTTTATGACCACCTGCACCATCAAATGTGGAGCCACCTTTTCGACTGGGTATTGTGGGTTCCATTGCGCAAGCTGCGACGAAGATCGGAAACGACAGTTGCGTACAACTTGGAAAATATGTTTTATGACGAATATTTCTCTCAACAACCTGACGGCAAAGATTTGGCACGAGCATTGTGGCAGGCTGTCATCGATCCCTCCCTTAGCAACCGAGTACTTTTCTTACTCGATGGCCTCGATGAAATCTCCCGTGAATGGGATACAGACGCGCCAATGCATGATTTTGTGTCCCATCTACTGAAGCAACCGCAGGCCATTATCACGACGAGACCACGCCCCTCGGATCAGTTCGACCTAGGGACTGTCGATCTCGAACTAGAAACCATAGGATTTCTTCCTGACCAGGTAAACAAGTACATCAACCACCCGGAGATCGTACCCGACGGTGGGACTGCGAGAGAGATTGAGTCATTCTTGCAAAAGCATACCCTTATGCAAAACCTCATGCGGATCCCTGTCCAGCTGGACGCACTGTGCTTTAGTTGGGAGCGAGACTTGTTGCAAGGGAAGCAGCAGACAATGGCCAGCATTTATCAGGCAATTGTGCTGAAGCTGTGGAGAAAGGATATTCTGCAGCTGGGCATTCGAGATGACCAAGGAATGCCGCTAACGGAGGGGAAAGTGAAAGACATCTTCGAGTCTGACATTGAGGATTATATATTCAATGAGATCAACCTAATCGAGGGACTCGCCTTCCACGGACTCACCAATGATATTATCGAATTTCGGTTGAAAGACCGCGAATCGTTCTACAGACTTTTTAAACGGCTTGGAGAGAAGCTTCCTCGCGCGGGCGACCTTGTGCTTCGGAGGGTCTCATTTCTGCGTACCTCAGATGACACTCTCTACAGACACGAGCAAAGTTTTCATTTCCTTCACTTGACCTTCCAAGAGTTCTTTGCAGCGAGGTATTTTGTCAGGCACTGGCTACAGGACAAGCCTCTCCCGCTTTTTCGTGTGGGTCAACAATCAACGAAGGACTCTTTATTGGCACCCCAACTGTTCCTTCAGGCAAAGAAATACGATTTGCACTATAATATCTATTGGCGTTTTGTGGCAGGGCTTTTACAAAACTGCTGGCAGTCGAATGCTCCAAGCGGAGAGTTGGTGAGAGATTTCTTCGATCAACTAGACCGTGAGCCTCGCGACATGGTGGGACTAGCCCACCAGCGACTTACCATGCATTGCCTCAGTGAGGTAGCGACCGCGAGTGATGATGAGGTCATTTCGGAGACGAGGTCTTCGCTTGAGAAAAGACTGCTACAATGGGTAGAGCTCGAGTGCCAACTTAGCTCAGACCCGGAAATGGTCGCTGAGATGGAATGTCCAAGCCACATCATCACAACACTTCTCGGGCCGGGCTACGAAAGGTATCACGGACAAATTCTAAAGACCTTAGATCGCGGAAAAATACAAATATCCCAAGATGTACTTGATGCAGCAACTTTGTTGCTCAAAAGAAATGCGTCTGTCTCAGTGAGACAATGTGCAGTAGCTTTGTTATCAAGGACCCCGGACACGATAACAGCAGAGATTGAGAGAATCCTAGTTCGAGACCTCCACCAGGGTTATTCTGGTACCCGTCAGTACACAGCCAGCGCCTTGTTTAAGAGGTTTCTCTCCAATAATGCCATCCGGGATCTGGTACCGCTGCTACGGCATCATGATAAGAATATCAGCTTGGATAGTATCAAAGCCCTAAAGGCAGCGGTCGACCTTCCTGAGAACGTTATACAAAATCTGATGTCCCTCTTTTGGGATGATGAGATTGTCTATCCCGACCGCACGCCAGCGCCGATTTTAGCACCTCAAAAGAAATTCTCAGATAGCACTATCTTGTCTCTCGGTACGCATCTCAATGATAACCTAGGCTGCGTACGCTACAGGGCGGCGGCCGCTTTACAGGTCAAGAAGACTTTACTCCCCGATTGGATTGTTAAAAACCTGGTACAGCTCCTTGAAGATGAATCTTCAAGTGTACGGTTCGCCGCATGCAAAGCACTGTGCGCTCAGAAAACCCTTCCGAAGGAGGTTCTCTTTACTGTGATTCCCGTGCTCAATAAAAGTGTAGAGTTTATGATAAATGGCTTCCTCAACGACAAAACAGAGCATGCAATTAATATCTTGAGGAGCCAACTTGTTCTTCCAGACGATATCAGACATGCGCTAAGTCTTCTACTCAAGGCAGAAGCCCCTTCTACAAAGTTCGCTGCAGGCTGGGCCTTAGCAAGCCAAGACAACCTGTCGAATGAAACCCTCAACGGCATGGCACTACTCCTCGAGGAAGCAAATATTAATTTGGGACAACTCAGGCGCACATTTCAGTTATTCGAACAACAGAAAAGTCTTCGATATATCATTGTGCGAGCGTTGCACCTACATCTCAAAGATCGTAATACTGAAGTGAGACGTTTCGCGGCTTGCGACCTTCAGAAGTGGCTGCCCCTTCCAGATGAGATTCTACATGACTTATTTTTATGCCTAAAGGATCCAAAAACAAGATGGCTTGCAAGTAGCACAATCGGAAAGCACTCGGCGATCCCGGACGAGATTATTCCAAGCTTGCACGACCTTTTGATGGATAAAGACGCAGATGTGCGTGAGTCCGCGGCCGCGGCCCTGAACAGTCAAAAAGAGCTTCCATCGAAGTTGCTCCATTCTCTCGTATTCGTACTCAGACATTGCCCGGATGGTTATGTTTGCTACGCAACCGAGTGGCTCAAAAGGCAGCGCCGTCTTCCTGGCGATATAACCAAGGCGTTGGCCATGCTACTTGACGATGAGCGCGGAGTGGTAAAAGATAAAGCTATGATAGTGTTGCTGGCGCAGTCGCACCTGGCAGAAAATGTACTCCATGCCATAGCCATGCTACATTTTTGCCCTCGCCTTCAATACGGATACGCTTGGGGTTCATGGCTCGGTTCGAGGTCTGATTTACCCCTCAAAACAGTCAAAGCTCTGGCAGGCCTCCTTGTGGAAGAAAACCACTCGCATGTAGAGAGGGTTTTGAGAGTTCAAAATTCCTTCTACCCTCTTGTACCGACGCTCAGCCGGCAGGCGCTGAAGAATCTCTTTCGTTGTTGGATACCCCTCGCCTTTGACAAACAGATCTGCTGCTTTTTGGAGAAAGGCAAGCTGATTATCGATGGTCCGAAAGGGAGATTTGAACTTGATTTCGAGAGTGAGCAGCAAAGAGAGCAGTTCATTCAGGTCATTCGACAGGTCCAGATGGATCTGGGATTTCCTACCGCTGGCACAAGCTCTGATGAACAGTCGCCTGTACCGAGCCGGGTCATCCGCAAGCGATCTGCCAAACCTGCGGGGTTTGCAATGGAACATCCGAACAATAAATTGAGAAAGTAATTTCCACGTCCTCGTCCTCGTCCTCGAACTCTCCCCCTGACTCGGAATGTACAGCTGGCGTGGTCAGCCGCTTCTGATGCCTCAAATATACTAGCAGGATCCTTGTTCTTGCTACTACTGAATTCTCATTTAAGTGTATAGTTCATCACCCTTCCCTGCACCCAGTGATATCTTATCTAACTAACCATCTAGCTGTTCTTCATGGTCTTGATGTAGATAGTCTCCCACAAACAGCACATCTCTGGGGGTGGTCTTGCTACTAAAGTCTACGGCGCTGAAATAGAGCAGATGCCAAAGTCTAGTCCGTGCTGGAAGTGGTAAGTATAAAATAGCTGATACACAGTAACTGCCTGGTCATAGTAAAGTCCCAACCTATAGTTAGGTGGCTAAGTATGTTATGGTAGTTCTTTTAGTCTTAGGTTGTTGCTCCTGTTAGACTCTAGAAATCATATAATATCTATAATACCGAGGTTAGTGAATCCAGATAATTGGCTGCGTAATTACTAGGTGGGTATAGTAATTAATGAAGAGATGATTTTCTACTGATAGGTCATGCATCCTTCCTATGACCTTGATGTAGCTCATCACTCTCTATAGTCCTGCCATAGAGTTAATTAACCAGTACTGGCTACCTCCAGAGTGCTCAGCTTTCACATATAGATGAGACTAGGGTGTTATTTTCCTAATACCATTACAGAATTTATCTTTCTATCTAGTTTATAAAACGTATCCTCTATCCTTCTTCCCTGCAGAGCGGTAATACACTATTACTCTCTGTGTTAGGAATACTGGACTCCTTCACATAGTGTGAGCTGAGAAACAAGGCCTCTGGTGTTAATATTAGTCTCCCAGTTCTGCTTCTACCCTGCTGCAGTCTGTGACATTAGCTGCAATAACTCCTCCATGGGAAATAAGCCTAACTCTTGCAATAGTATCCTAACCATGTGTGCCCTTAAGTATGTCTTAGAGCATAATCAAACCCTGCTCTAGAATTTCTCTTCTCTTTACGACTTTTCCAGTAAGAATATTGCGTTCCTTACCATTGTTTCTGAGTAGAAAATCTTGCAAACTAGGGCAGTCTAAAACCATACCAAAGGATGATAGTATCCAGTAGTTAGTGCAAGAATGTTTCAACTGCGCCTTGCATCTATATGAAATTTACGAGTATCTAGTATGCTGAGTTTCCAGTAAATATCTCTTTGCAAGAGCGCAGGGCATTGAAGATATCTTTGAGGGTCCTGCTCAGGTCCTGTATAGGAAGGTTGGTGCCACTATACCCTTCAACGCACGTAGTTTTCATCCGGAGCCACCAGTGTCCTCTACAGGCGCTGAGATAGCCATCCTAAAGATAGCATCTATCACCAATGGCCACGCGCAGTATCAGAGTAGAATTCTAGATATATCTAGTGCTACAGTCTTCAACCACACTAAGGAGAGTATCAAGTACATCATTCTCTCTAACACGTGGCTCAAGAATGTCCAAAGACAGCAGGATATTCACCTATTCGTCGACTGCGGAGTAGTTGGCTCGGGAGTCTAGTCAGTGTATGGTTGACCGTCTGGTTTGATGGCATGATAAGAGAATGGTCGCCCTAGAACAAACATTTCTACTCGGGAATTTGCCAAAAAAGGAAGCACTGGTCCTCGCTTTACTAGCGATAAGTTCCGCCAGCTCATCAGTGAGACATTACTATATGTTCCTGACATGAATCACCTGTTCATAGACTTGTGGCCACCACGTCTTTGGAGTAATGACTGCAGTCAATGTAACCCAACGCACGAGCCGCAATGACTCGGGCTGTATATATAAATGGGAAGGCCCATGCGTGTGACGACCATGCCGCAGCGCTTATGCGTCCTGAGAGTGAGGGCACCAATAGCGGCGGCACCTCGAAGGCTTAGATCTGTCTAGTCAATATGCCAATTCATCCTCTGTCTTACTGCAGGACTGAGACGGACGACGAGCGCCGCAATCAGTCAAGAGTATGGTAGTGAAGCTTTGTAGTAATTCCAATGTGGTAAGCATTAAGCGTCAATAAAATGTCTCTAAACCACGTTTAAGGTTCAAGGAGGCAGTGCCAGCAATGGAACAACGGTTATTTAGCCTAGCGAACCCTGCAGTCCAAGAGTCACACGTTTCTCTATTTCCGTCTCGTGTTGAGGCTTGTAGCTAGTGCGTCAGCGAACGGATCGACCACGAAGATTTGATAAGTCAAAACTGAGCTCTGCCAGGACTGATATCCGAACCGATCTTTACTTGGAAGAGGCCAAGCCACTACAAAAGGGGCATTTGATGGGCCTGGAGTCTTGATTTTGCGCCTTGGCGCCTTGCGTTATCGGAGAAAGAAGTGGGCTTTATCCTTAGTTTGGACCTGGCCAAGTCTTCCTAGTCAAGGGTTCAGTGTTTTGCTACGGTTATAGGGATTGGCTACGTTTCATAGTTGGGACATTAAATCTGATCTGCAGTAGGCCACCATAGGCACCAGCTCAGTAGCTTGGACGCATTTTCGATCGTTGCCTGTCATTATCCCCAATCCAGCAAGTGACGCCGAGCGTTGACTCCCGGGAGCAGATCAACAAGAATAATAATAATAGCTTCTTTTGCTGCTTTTTCTGGCCTTTGGCGCCCAGACCGGGCGGGATATCCACCCGTTCCTGGCCAGGCCCACTTGTTCCCTGCACTATTGGACTAAGACTGAATTTTCGCCGTGTTCCTCCGGGCTTAGCGTGATAATCAGAGAAAAGTTCTGACCACGTCTAGGGCTCATTGGCTCGTTTACTGCGCGTAAGATGTAACCTCATTTCCCGCAAGAGCGTCGGACTGTCGGCGGATTGGCCGGGTAAATGTACTAGACAGTAGTCTGTTTGCCAAGGTATTGTGGACTAGACGTGTCTTCTCTTTGAATACTGCCAGTATCTCTTTGGTCTCCTGAAGAAGGCTTGAATGTTTACATGTTGTGAGTTGGATAGCTGGCCTATATTATGGTGTACCTCCACAAGGCTAAAGCACCCTGATTACTGCTGATCTGGTTGTCTCGGACGGAGATATCCTAGTCTAAATATCGACTCTGGTGCGCCGCTGATCCGGATCCAACTCATCTCGTTTAATAATTAGTCCATCTCGCTAGACACTTAGGGGGATAGTGCCAAAGAGGCCCAAGAGTCAAATTTCCACCATTTCCCTTACGGCCATTCAGACGAGGCTGAAATCCCCGCTAAAACACTTGGTTTGACTGGGAGAGGGGCCAAAACATGAGTAGTATCGACAAGAGCCGCAACATCCACCACTAGACAAAGTCTAACAGCCATGTCGCTTCAGCCTGGTCAAGGAGGGCATAGCCTCCATAAGAAGACGAGTTCGCCTTGTCTGTTGCTTTGAGTTTTTTCTTCTTCCCTTTCTGGTTGTCTGTTTGTCCATCACTCGTTTCCCGATCATATATAGATCGTCCATTCTTTTGCAGCCATAATACCACAGTCTACTGCGTCAACGCTATCTTACAGTCGTTCCACTTCCAGTTACTAATTAAAATGCGTCTCTCAATTGCTTCTGTCGTCTCCTGCCTGGCGGCTCTCGCCATGGCCGCTACCAAGCCCGACTACACCAAGGACCCCTCGGGAAATGCCATCGTCAAGCCCGGTCTGAACGAGCAGGTGCCTGCTGGAAAGCCCTACACAATCGAATGGGATCCCACTACCACAGGGCCGATCTCCCTGGTGCTCCTGCGCGGTCCCAGCAACAATGTCCTCCCCATTGCGACCCTGGCCGACAACATCCCCAACTCCGGTAGCTTTTCCTGGACTCCCAGCACCTCCCTCGAGCCCGACACCACCCACTACGGTCTCATGCTGGTTGTCGATGGCACTGGTCAGTACCAGTACTCGACGCAGTTTGGTATCTCCAACCCAGACTACACTGGCTCGTCTTCCAACTCGTCTTCGACGACCACTACCGCGACTGAGACCAAGTCTTCTTCCGTGACGGGGTCTTCTTCTAAGCCCTCGGCCACTGGCACGACTACTGCTACTACTACCGCGACTTCTGGTTCGGCCAGTGCCAACTCCACCACCACCGCCACCACCCCCGCCACCACCTCGGAGACCTCCGCCACTACCCTGGTTACCCAGAGCACCACCAATGCTCCCACCTCGACTGTGGTTGTGACTGTTCCTAACAGCACTGGCGGCTCTTCCGCCGTTTCCTCTGTCTCTCACAGCCACTCCAGCACCCCGTCCCCCTCGGCGACTCTCTCGAATGGAGGGGACCGCAAGGCGATCAGCCTGGGAGCGGTTGTAGTGGGAGCATTCGCAGTGATGGCTTTTTAAGTGATGGGACCGCAGCTCGGGTTGTGCTATGTATGTAGCGTAATAGCTAATGACTTTTCCTGAATATATACCCCTGGACATGAAAATACTACTTATACTACCTCTCGGTACTTTATTGTCGATCATCCATTCATCGTGGGTGGCTCCAGTGACGTCACCATTAGAACTCTGTATCTCCACATTCCATTCTTCATTCTTCGGCATTTGATATATCAATCGGTCGCAATGCAATGGCTTCAGTATAGTGATGTGCCAGATTGACCACAGCAGAATACATGGAACCCTCACAATGCCCTCGCACAGCATCTCCGCACAGCAACTGGCGGACATGCTGCCCACCGGCGTCGCCATCCTCAACCACCGCGACGAAGCCATCTTCACCAACCGCCGATTCCGCGACCTCATGACCAAGTGCGACCCGCGCTGCTTCGATTCCTGGTCCCAATCCATCCATCCCGACGACTACGGCCGCCTCGCGGAAGCCTACCACGATGCCTCCCGCGCCGAGAAGCCCCTCCGCATCGAGTACCGCACCCGCGACCACGACTGTCCCTGGCGCCTGCTCACCCTCAGCCCCATGGGCCCCGACGAGCGCTCCCTCTTCGGCCTCACCACCGCCGGCGGCGCCATCTGCACTATCGCCGACATCACCCAAGAAAAGACCGCCGAGCTCTCCCAGCGGAAAATCGCCGAGGAAGCACAGCAGCGCAAAACACAGCAGGAGCGGTTCATCGACATGATCAGCCACGAGGTGCGGAACCCGCTCTCCGCCATCCTCCACTGCACCGAGGACATTCTCGAAGCGGTACACCGAGCCCGCAAAGGGAAGTGCACCGCTGAGAAGACCCAGGAGACAATCGCCCAAGCCGCCGAGACGATCGGGCTGTGCGTCGCGCACCAGAAGAAGATCGTCGACGACGTGCTGACCTTCTCGAAGGTCGACGCGGGGATGTTGACCCTTACCCCGCGCCGGGTGCAGCCGCGCCGCCAGCTGGCCACCTCGCTGACTATGTTCCGGCCCGAGCTGCGCAAGGAGAACATCGAATTTGAGTACAAGCTGGACTGTTCGTACGAGGAGCAGGGGATTGACTGGGTGATGGCGGACCTGGACCGCATGAGCCAGGTGCTCATCAACCTTGTCTCGAACGCGATCAAATTCACGGCCAAGTCCGGCCGCGAGATGAAGGTGCGTGTGTCGATGGGCGCGTCGCCTACACGGCCCGAGTCTTATCCGCCCAACGTGGTATTCTTCAACTCGGATGAGACCGCGTTAAGGCTGGACAGGACGCAGCAGGCGGAGTGGGGTGACGGGCCGACGGCGTATATCATGGTTGCGGTGCGGGACACGGGGATCGGGATCAGCGATGAAGCGCAGAAGCGGTTGTTTGAGCGGTTTAACCAGGCGACGCCGCGGACGGAGAGCATATATGGAGGCTCGGGGCTGGGGCTGAACGTCAGTCGCCGGCTGTGTCATCTGCACGGGGGCGAGATCGGGGTGAGCTCGAAAGAGGGCGAGGGCAGCACATTTGGCTTCTTCTTTGCCGTCCGCAAAAGCGACGGGGTCGGAGAATCGTCCACCAGTCCGACAGCTGAGATGGACCAGACAAACCGGAAGGTCCAGTCGCTGGGAGATGAGATGACCGACGAGAGCCACCAGATGGCCTCGCCTGCCATTCCGGAGAACCCCGAGGTAACTTATATCGAAGAGATCAATCTCGCCTGCCACAGCGACGAGAGAACGGACCACACGGCCAGAATAGCCGAAGAGACTACTGACAATGAAAGCTCTACATCAAACTCTACAGCAGAGACCCAGCCCAAGGAGGAAAGTGGTGGCAAAACTGACAGCCAACACATCCTCCTCGTCGAGGACAACGTTATCAACCAGCGCGTCCTCTCGCGGAAGCTCCAAGCTCTCGGTTTCAGCGTCACCAATGTCAGTAACGGCCGAGAGGCTCTGGATGCCGTGAAGAATGACCACTTTGACTGCATTCTCATGGATCAGGCCATGCCGGTCATGGACGGCAATTCCGCGACCAAGGCGATACGCGAGTATGAAAAGCAAACGGCGGAGCATACCCCTGTCCTAGGGGTAACGGCGAATGTGAGAGCCGAGCAGAAGGAGGAAATGCTGCAGTCTGGCATGGACGATGTGATCCATAAGCCGTATAAGATGAGTGAGCTGACCGAGAAGATTGAGCATTTGATTCTTAAGGAGTCGGAGTAGGTCACTTGCATTTTGTGTATATCTTGATACCAGGCGTTAGTCGCTTGTAAATGAGGGTATATAGATCACCTAGGCTGCTTTTACTGTTTTGATACACTGTTGTCAACTATGGTCTTCCTTGACCTTGAGTATATAAGAGGTACTATATGTCATCTACCTACATAGCTAATACCACTGTACCTGTTTCTTTTTGGTTATACCCTTGCATCCAAAACAATGAAATATCCGAAGCGACCAGATGGCTCCCTATTTTAAAGCAGTGAAACAAACATCTCTCCAAGAGCTCCCACGAGCACCGTTAGGCTTAATTGCACTCATCCACTTCACAGGTGCTTATGGCCTACGAAATCCCATTTGAAGTCCTAAGTCAAGGCTCGACGGCCTGGTGTTGCTCTAAAGTCTCCCCGTTATTCATGATGGCATTCTCCAACCGAAGCGACTCATAATTTGGTAAGGAGATCCAGAAAAACTTCAGCGTGGAGGAGCAAAATTTTGAAATTCCGGCGAACACCCAAGGAAAACATTCCAATGCAGGTTAACTCTAGGGACATGTATCACATTCCAAACGTAAAAGCATATAAGCTATGAGCAGCTAATGAACAGGTTAAGGAAGCCTTTCTGGAGCTTCACTATATGTCCAAGCTGAGATTCTATCTCTGTCGATTTTCCCAGAGGTATGTTTGCAATCAACCTGCAGTCGTCAAATTCAGCAGCAGGACTGCTGCAACATGAATGAATTCAGATTGAATCTTGGTGCGCGACTATCACTCCCTACCACTCGACCTAGGACTAGCATCCTCCAGGGAAATGTCTATGGGAAGTTTCAAAAGTTTGGTTTCAAAGGGACTTCTTCAGAACCATCCGATCACGGGGAGCTCTTCAGGAAGCCGAGTCATGCAAGGCTATGTCTGACTGTACTCAGCCCCCAACAGAAGTCGAAATAGGGCTAAGGGAAGATCGTAATCTCTCTCACACAAGATGCCAATCTCATTGGGCTTACTAGGACACTAATGTATGATGATGTCTGTAGTGCCCGTCAGCCTGCCCACAGCCTCCCCCCACGTAAAACAAGTCTGCCAAGTGCCGAACTGGGGCAGTTCTGGTTGGGTAAACAACTTCCAACAATGCAAGTGCGAATAGGTCAACACGGCCATCGCATGAGGTGGCGATTGGCGTGGGAGTCGGGGTGCCGTGGGCGGTCATTGCACTGACCTTGATTGTCTGGGCTATATGGGAGAGGAGGGCGCGAATGCAGCATGCTAAATGGGCAATGGCACTGACTACGATAAGCAAAGGCTATGTTCCTCCATATGCAGAAAAGCACGTGGGTGCCAGTGCCTCGCCGCGCCAGCCAGCAGAGCTGACAGCCGAGTCTCAGACGCATGAATTACAGTCGTGATGATGAAAAGAAGCAAATAGAATATCACGTTAAAAGGATGTAATTGTGAACCTTTATAGAGATTACTTGCTCGTCCATGTTTCTTGTTCCTCGGGGTTTATGTGAATGCCTCCTAGCATGCCCCGCTTTTCAGGTCGAAAAGAGGTACCTAAATGGTACGTGTACGTATTTCTGTCAAAGATATTACTCTCGGCTCTCCAATAGTTTTAATCACTGACCGTTGGAATATTCTATAGACACATCAGTCACAATTCTCAATGGTAGCTGCAAGCAGTCCGTCCTGTGCTCACCACACATACGTTGGGACCTCATATATAAAATTTTAATAGCAGCCAGTAGAATTCAGGTAGTATACTGGTACTTAGAATTAAATTCATTTTTCGTTCGATTTCTGAGAATACTTGTAACGTATCAAGCCGTAGCCATCGCGATGAATCTGCTTGGTGCCTCAGGCAGCATTCCTTTACCTCGGCAAGGGATTTCGTCCCGACACAATTACAGCAGCACATCCACCCCGCAGCCAAAGTCTCTGAGCCTCAAGGCTATGGGCAATTTACTCTTCGAACATGTCCGGCCGTCGTAATCGTTCTGCAGTTGCATGCCAAGCATGTCGTCGACGGAAAGTGCGGTGCACCGTTACTGTAACCGGCATTCCCTGCATCAATTGTTCCCAGGATGGAATTAAGTGCACAGTGGCGCAACGACGAGGGACGTATGTACATGCTTATCAAGATAAAATGAAACAAAAAGCATACAAAAGAGCTATCCCTGATTGTTACAGTCAGCAGACAAGGAATCAACCCTTGCGCGAGATCCGCGCGGTACCTCATCCGAGGTCCAGCCCGAAGCAGAACGACCGAACATCCCGAGTCGAATCCGGTGAGACTGTCCGCAGCCACACCGTCTCAAATCTCCCCAGATCCATGTCTCAGTCCGGACGAGCTGTTTCGGAGCCAGCTGCTGCGACAGGGACGGCGACGCCGTATTCCGAGCAAAGCCGGATCGAAGACGAAGAGCGCAGTGCCGCTGACTTTGCCACGGCTTCGCTGGCGCCTCGGGATGCCGACGCAAATGATATGCCAATATACACTGGTATGCTTGCATGACAGAATGCATTCGAAAAAAGCTAACTGTAGTAGGCGAATCTTTGGGATTTTCTGCTGTTTTGGATGTGTTCGCGACACAAGCTGTCCCCAGACATGTCTTCCGGCCGTCGTCGCATCCTAGTCTAACCGCCGAGGATGTCGAGTATCTGAAGTTTAAAGGATGCTTGACATTGCCATCCAGTGACATATGTCGCGGGCTGCTTCGTGCCTATTTCCACCACGTGCACCCTATTCTACCGGTGGTGGATGCTGCGCAGGTATTGAAGTT